TTATGTGCATGATATTGTTGTCATAGGGAATGACCTAAGTGAGATTGATTGTTTGAAGAAGAATCTACACAAAGAATTTGAAATTAAGGATCTTGGAGAACTTAGATACTTCTTAGGCATTGAAGTTGCAAGATCAAAACATGGAATTTTTATCTCTTAGAGAAAATGTCTTGGATCTTCTTCAAGAAACATGGAAGTTTGGAACAAAGGCAATCAATACTCCTATTAATCAGAATCACAGAATTAATGCATCAGAAGGTGAGACAGTAAAGGACATTGGGAGATATCAGAGACTTGTGGGGCGGTTGCTATACTTGTGTATGACAAGACCAGACATTTCCTATGCAGTAAGCGTGGTAAGTCAATACATGCATGCTCCACGAGTCCAGCATTGGGAGGCTATTAACAGGATTCTTGCTTATCTGAAGGGACACCCGGGTAGAGGCATATTGTTTCCTGATCATGGACAGTTGAAACTAGAGGCTTATACAGATGCAGATTAGGGTCCGCTTGGACAAATTAAAGCAGTTTTTTCTTTTGTTTTTTATGTGGTAACTTAAGTAGGGGCATAATGGTCCTTTCCCTTCTATTTATGGTCGCCCTATATATATTAATATAAGTTGGCGCCGCCATCACTGTAGCTAACTCCAAATCTCTCCTCTTCTCTCCTCTCTTCTTTCCTCTCTTCTCTCTTCTCTCCTCTCTTCCTCTTCTCTTCTCCTACCTCTGTTCGGATGTTAATAGGACTTGGGGAGGGAAGAATGAAGGAAGGTGCAGAGGATAGGGAGATGGGTATCAATGGAGGTTAAAGTTTTTAAGGACCACTTGGAAATTGAATGGATGGATCAGTTGTCATGTTCAGACAATACATATTCTCTCTCTCTCTCGTGACTCTTTTTTCACTTACATCAGACATAGTAATAATGGAATTTATGGAGTGTGTAAAAGAGTGGCTGGTGAAGAGAAGACAAGAGCCAGAGAATCTTTCCAACAATCCAACTATCGTTCGTCGCTTGAAGTCACAACCATGAGCCAATCAGCCAAACCTTTTATTATAAATTTGTGAATGTTTGGGTCTCTCTCTCTCTCTCTCTCTCTCTCTCTCTCTCTCTCTCTCTCTCTCTCAGACATACTTCTCACACACATATGACACAGACATGGCCATTTCTCCATTACTCGTTAAGGCTAAAATGCAGCCTGAATGAACCCCGGGGCTTCTTGGCTTTTCCTTCTGCTTTTTTTTAAAACCCTATTCACAATGCAGGAGGCCATGGCCCCCATTATTGCCTCATTAGATGAATTGTAATTTTGGAGCAGTTAGTATAGGGTTGGCATCGGACCCAACTCAAGCTGCTTCCGATGTCGATGTTCACCCAGAAATCTTGTTTTGGTGTGCCCAGTCCGATTTCTCTCATCTGCAAGGAACGGAAAACAGAGGAAATTGAAAAGAAGAAAGGGGAGGAGAGAAAGGGGAAGAGGAAGAAGAGAGATCGGGGGGAGAGAGAGAGAGAGGGAGGACTTCAACGAAAGTTCGCCGCCGCTGCTGTTCGTGTATCTTGAGGTCGGGGAAGATGAACAGTGTTTTTCTTCCAATTCTTCGAATAGTTATTACAAGGGTAGTATGGGGATTAAAAAATATTATAACGGCGGACTTCAACGGAAGGCTAACAGAAGGGGGTCTTTGTCTCACGATCATAGTACAGGGGGGTCTTTGTCGCAAATAAACGTACAGGGGGTCTTTGTCACAGACCCCATAGTACAGGGGGGGTCTTTGTAATTTACCCAAAAAAAACACCTTTGCAGTTACTAACTATCCTACTTTGACTATTTAACCAATGACACCTGAAATTTTAAACACAACTTAACTATGACTAAACAAATCAGAATACAAGGTCAGACACCACAGACATGTAAAATGACCAAAAAAACCCACAATATACAAAAATGCATAAAATTCAGAAAATTTCAGTTTTGACTTGTTTTGTTCCCACAACAATCATGCATGTGGTTGTGGAATTGATGAGTATAACGAAATTAATGAAGCACATCAGACATGTGGCTAATATAAAGTCTCCTTTCATATAAACAGCAAACTAAAACTTCATTGTTCCACATCAGCTGCAGCAACAAACAAGTTTCACTGGAGATTTTGGAGTATGTTGTGTTGTCATAATAATAGATACATTACATTCCAAATTAATGAAATTGATTCTGTTAATTCAAAAAAAAAAAAAAAAAAACAGATGCATTACAGCATAGATACCATTTATACAGTTTTTGATGTTCACTTAGGCTCAGTTAGGAAGGAGTACAAATACAAATATGCACAGTACAAAAACATATTTGTATTATAAATATTTGTATTTGTACTCCTTCCAAACTGAGCCTAATTTCTCCGAAGTACATTATCTTGAATTCATACAAATAAATTGGATAAAGAAACTTGTAGCGTATGAAACAAACTTTTACAAGATTATCTACTATCTTAATGAAACAAGGAAAATTTCTAGAATCTAGGTCTGGCATGAAAAGGGATTTTTTTTATAGAAAAGTTCAACAAGTAGTTCTTCTATGGAGGATTGGGCTGTATAACTACAATCATAGTTTTTGCACATCTCATTCTCATGTCTACCTTTGCCTTTCAAACAAAGAATGTTCCACTACCTTCTTAGGGAAAAAATCAAAAGAATGCATAGCCATGCTTGCTTTCAAATTTATCCAGAATTGATATGTTAGACAACTTATATCAGCATCAGATTCCTAAGGAAAATACAGGGCAATAATACATGTTATCATATTTATATGCTTACAGAGCAACAATCTGCTTTACTAGCTCCAACAAGGAGACACCCTAGCCCACCAAAGAAACCCAGTTTGGTGATTTTATGATAAGGCCAGTTACATTCTCCTGAAGATCAGAGAATGGTATGGCTGATGTTTAGCAAAACATGGAGTAAATAGGGAGGCTTTGTTCTGGGCTGTTTTGTAAGAATCTTTCTTATGGGTTCTCCACCATTCTTTGGGTGGTGACAGTTGTACTTAAGTTATTCTAATCAATGAAAGTTATTGTTCTTATAAAAAAATAAATAAATTAGACTTTAGTAAAAATGGAAAGTTTTATAAGGCCTTTGTGTATTCCAGTTGATCCATAATTGCAAGTGTCTTCACAGTCTTAGTCTGTATTAATTACATCAAGTATAACACAGGATCTATCAGATCATAGCCATCGATCATAATATGGTAAAGCATTCAGATATCTAGCCTCTTAAGTTTTAACAATAAAAGTATAAAACCATGGATCAGAATCTGGAGTGCCAAAAGGTTTACCTCTAGCATAAAGTTCTGTTCTTAAAAGTGGGATCCTATTATCCCAGCAGATGAGGCCACCTATCTTCCCAATCGGAGTGTCATATGTAGATGGTGTTGAATTGTCTCCAGGAGACCAAACTGTATGTTCTGAAGATGTTCGCATGAGTTTCCGGTGTTTCCCAAGATAATGGCCATGGGAGTTAAAAAAGACAACAGTACAGTAGAGAGAAGACTCTTCTCTCTCTACCACCCCCATTACTAGATTTACTTTATATTTTCCAGCTATTGCTGCTAATCGTTCAATTTCAGGACCTGAAATCCAGATAATAAACTAAATTCAGATGAGAAGAATCTTAAATTAATTTATGATTGCGAGCAGCAAACAGTTTGAGTTGATTTTTTTTTTTTTTTGAGAAAAGATAAGTTGTATTAAAATTGCATTAAACAAAAAGAAGAAGGGTGTACATGAGAAGATGTCCAAACCTCAACAGACAAAAAGAAACAGGCAAGATCAGTAAGGCATTAGAGATTGACAAGAAAAATTGTATAATGCATGCCTACATACATACATCATAGATAACAACAGAAAAACAAAATGAAGATATATATACGTGTATGTGCATCATTGCACAATTTGAAATGGTTTTGAACTCATTTGAAATGAAGCAGATCATATAATTATGAAAGTTGGCAAGACCACTTTGATAAGCCCATTTAAAACAAGTTATCATTGTTTAAAGATCATTTTAGAATGTTCCTGGAAAGCATTTTTTTTATTGGTAACTGTCATAACTTTTATAAATCCAGAATACAAAGAGTTATACATCAATCTTTACAGTTCTCATCTCTCACAAGATTCTGTTCCCAATCTTATCATACATAAAGTGAAGCCCAAGAGTGCCATTCCCTATACACCCTTGTTTAGCTAGGTAGAAGCCAAACCACTTGATGACTGGTAGACCCATCTGAACATGGCCCATATCACTCTTGCTAGCTGCCTAATTTCTCTCAAAGCTTGCCTATGAACCCAAATCCCTTGCCTGTTATTATTCATCCAACCCACTATCAATGTAGATTCCCTTTTTTATCAACAACAGAATTTATTAATTTAGAGAAAAATTAACAAAACAGAGGATAGGTAACCTTTCTTAACTCGCCTTGTCAATTTTATACAAATTGCAAATTACAATTGTGCCCAAAACAGTTTATATCTTCCCACCCTTGTCTTGCTAGTACATCAGCAAAAGCATTAGCAGTTCTTTTAACCAAACTGAACTTCACCTCCATATCCTTTGCCTTTTGCACTCCTTCCATAACAGCCAAAGTCTCAGCTCTTAATTGGTCTCCCACACCAATTGGACCTGAGAATAAACCAATAAATCAGCATTCCTTATTCCTAAGCAAACCACCAATACTGGAAGGACCTGGGTTACCTGCACTACTTCCATAAAAATTTAACTTGATATAATACAAGTTGGTAGAGTCCATAGAGGTTACATCGGCTTGACCTGATGACAATCAGAGCAAGCCACTTCCTCCCAGTTATTCATAATATCAACTGAAAAGAAGTCAGAAAAGAGCTCCAAAGTCTTCACCCAGTGAACCACTCTAGTCAGGATGGTCTCAACAATTGCCTCTTTGCTTCTTTCCTAATCTGAAAATATTATGGAATTTCATTCATCCCAAATGGTCCAGCTCACTACAGCCCTTAAACATCTCCACAACACTCTACCTCTTTCTTAGGCCACCTAAAGAAAGTAGAAGTAAACAGGCTTTGCATATTGGATGGGGGATTCCATCTACACCAAACAATGAGAGAAACCATTCCCAAACCAATTTAACAAAGGGGAAGGGGATTAATAAGTGAAAGCAACTTTCTCCATTAGCCTTACAGTGTGGGAACAAGAGCCACTTAGGTCATTTTAGTTGGAGTAGATCACAAGTATTTATTCATTCCTGGAAGACCTCCCAACAAAAGCCTCCAATTCTTTTTTTTCTCGATTAATAACTGCAAGAATTATATCAATGATAAAATGATAGATACAAGAGGTACAATATACACACAATATCATTGACAGACAATCTTATCTCTCCCCAACAACCTACTCGTTTTACAAATGTGCCCAAAACAAATTTTCCCTCTCCACCCCTTGCTTGGCTAAGCCATCTTCCATAGAGTTATCAGACTGCTTTACCCATTGGATCTTCACTTCCATGTCTTTTGTTATCAATTTAAGTTATTTTTTTAGGGAGCTAATGGTCCACATCCTCTGATTATCACATTGCAACCAACTCACAACCAGTTTTGAATCTCCTTCCACAACTAATTTTCAAATGTTTAACAGTCTTGCTCTTTGTATTCCTTCCATCACAGCCAGCACCTCTGATCTAAGAGAGTCTCCTTCATCAACTGGCCCTGAGTAAAGTGCTATAACATTACCTCTCTCATCTCTGAACAAACCTCCTATGCCTAAAGGTCCTAGATTACCCATGCAGCTTAGATCAAAATTGAGTTTCATGAATCCCCTGTCTGGTGAACACCAGATTGGATTTGCTAATAACCTACTAGAAGACAATTCAGCCACTACCTCCCAGCTCCTGAGTAGATCCATTGAGACATAGAGGAATGTATCCATGGATTTTAACCAATGTGCCATACAATTTCAATAATAGCCTCCTTAGATCTTTCCTTTCCTAAAACAGCCTTGAATTCCTTTCTTCCCATATAGTCCAAACAATTGCCACCCTTTTACATTTTCACATAACCCTACCCCTTTTGTTTGGCCATTCAAAGAATGTTGAGGCAAATAGGATTTGAACAGTATTAGGAGTCACCTGCACCCAAATAAAGACAGAAACCATTACTAAATACAAGTAGTAAAAGAACAAGAAATTAGCAAATGATAGCAATTCTCACCATGGCCTTGCACAATAAACATCTGGGGGAGGGGGGAACTGTTCTTGAACTATGATCTTCAGGGTGGAATAAGCTGCTATGACTCCCCATCCTCTAATCATGTCATCCACATTATGGTCCTTAAAAAACTCCATTGTCTTAACCCAATGAATTACCTTCAATTAAAACATCCAATATCTTAAGTTGCTCCTTGCTCCTTAAATAGTCTGCCATTTCTCCCCTCTATACTGTCCATCAAATTTAATGCATTAATGGCTCTCCACATCACTTTTCCTCTTCTTTTTGTTTGAGCCATAAACACTGAACCAAACAAGCTGGCAGCATCCAAAGGTACCCGCCTAAGCATATAATTGTTTCCAATCGTGCAGAATGTGCATAGGGTGTGTTTTTTTGAGAAAAAGTTAACCAAATTTCATAGAAAGAGACAAGAAGTACATGAGCAGATGTACTAGATGAGAAAACAGCAGAAAAGCAAAATTACAAGGGGGGGAGCTTGTTGCTGTATAAATTTTCTCGGTTTGCTCCCAATTTAGCTAAACTATCTGCAATATGATTCATCTCCCTTGGGATCCACTTCAGATTAACATTCAAATGTTCCAAAGTGTCTCTTGCCTCTGACAGATAATGACTCAACCTCCATGGGCCCCCCTCCTCTTTCAGCCATTTGATGGTATTGGCTGAATCTCCTACTATGGATAATTTCTGAATGCCCAGGTTTTTTATTATTCTGATACCAGTGAGGGCTGCCATCACTTCAGCCTTTGTTGAGTCTGTAATACCTAGTGGACCACTAAACACCCAACAAATCAGACCCTGTTCATCCCTCAAGATTCCACCTATCCCAGCTTTGCCTGGATTGCCTGCAGCAGTTCCATTAAAGTTTAAAGTCATCCCAGCTTCAAGTTGAGGAACCTGAAAACTTTTGGTTGGATAAGGGTGATTTGGGAGAAGTAATATCGAATGGATATTTCTGTTAAGGTCATTAAGGGATAGGTCTTGAAACATCTCAGTGTTAATGGCCCGAGAGTAACAACAGAAAAAAATATCTACGATTAGATCCTCTAGAGGTTTAGATCTGTTTTCAAAAATATGCCTGTTTCTTTCCTCCCAAATTCCACACATGACTACATGACCACAGTTTTCCAATACACTTTGCCTCTTCTGCTCAAACCGGACCCATACCACTGGTTGAGGAACTCCTTAATGTGATTGGGAGAGACCCAACTGTAGCCTAACAGGTTTAAAAAGTATCTTTTGAGCAAAACTGCAATGAATGAGTAGATGGTCTGCTGATTCCCCTTCTCTTAGGCAAAGCACACATACATGTGGAGAGATATAAAACCTTCCTTGGCTTTTCTTCTTCTGAAGATCACAAGTGTTTATTCTCTGCAGACATGCTTCCCAAACAAAAAAAAAAAAAAAAAAAAAACTCAGTAGAAACAGCAATACAAGTGGTGGTGCACCACACCTATTCTTTATCGTTCTGTTATTTACCTTTTTTTTGCTTGGTTAGCATTCTCTTATTGGATAACTTTAAAAAAAAAAAAAAAAAAAAAAACAGATTCTTTGAGGAATATGGCTGCTCCATATCCTCTTAAAAGGGAAAGAGGAAGTCCGGTCACCTGCAAGAAGAACCTTAAACAAAGATTTGGAGGAGAACACACCATTTGGGTTTAAGGTCCAGATTCGGGTATCAGAGGACTGAGGGGAGAGATAGACTTCTTTTAGGGTAAGGAAGAGGTTTAAAAGGTCTGAGATCTCAATTTCCTTTAAAGGTCTTCTCAGGTTCAGAGTCAAATTGGTGTCAGCAGGTAAGGCTGGAATGCAAGAGGAGACAGTTGAGTCCTGATTTGAGGAGAGATTAAAGATTCTAGGGAAGGCTTCAGCTAGGGTGGAATCCCCCCACCAGAGATCTTTCCAGAATTTTATTTTATTTCCGTTTCCCACTTTGAGTCTAATGAAAGGAATGAAGGATGAGTGAGAGGAAACTATACCTTTACAAGGGTTTGAGTTCTTTACCTGGTTCAACTGGAGATTGCTGTCCCACCCATTTGCATTTGTTCCATACTTGCTAGAGATAACAGATGCCCAAAGAGTATCGGATTCAGTGGGGAATCTCCATAGCCATTTACTCAAGAGAGAGATAACAGATCCTCCTTCAGCTTACACACTTGGTCCCAACTTACCAGGTGATTTCTATTCACCCCTCCTCCATCCCAAAGGAAATTTCTTTGGATTTTCTCTAAGTAAAGTCTCACTTTTGGAGGAATTTTGAAGATTGAAAAGTAATAAGTTGGTAAGTTTGCTAGAGAGGCCTTTAGGAGAATCAGTCTGCCCCCTTTTGATAGGTAACCTTTTCTCCAAGAGGCTAATTTCCTTTCAAATTTCTCCACCACTGGGTCCCAGAAGTTTAGAGATCTTGGGTTACCTCCCAGGGGCATTCCAAGGTAGGTAATGGGGAGGCTTTCCAGTTTACAATTCAGAATCTCTTTGATATTCTCTATGAGTCTTTCTTCGACTGAGTTGATAAGAATAATGCTGGATTTGCTGAAATTAACCCTCAACCCGGTGCATAGGGTGTGTCTTTGATCTTGAGATACATATTTGTCTTCTATTTATTGTCTTTTTGGGTTCTAATATGTGAAAGAGAGAAAGGTATGATTGAGAAGCTGTCTTTTATGTTCTACTTAGTGGATCTTTGATGCTCTCCTGTGGATATAAGCTACTGAACCATACTATTCAACTCTGGAATGTTTCTTCTCCATCTTGCTCCTTCTCTTGGTTGTTTTTTTTTGATAATTTTCTCTTGGTTGTTATTTTTCTCTGCATGTTGACATTTGCATGTATTGATGTATATGTGAATGCATGTAATACAGAAGGCAAATTAACTAATACGATGCAATGCATCAAAAGCCTTGGTTGTCTCAAAAAGGGGTTCTCACCAGGAATGTCCACAGCTGCAGCATGATACCTCTGCAACTGACTGTTTCCCTCACTTATATGGGTTCTAGCATAAACATCAAAACATGAAGCACGGGGATAACCACCCACAAATGCCTCTGGAAAGACAACTAATTGTGACCCATAAGCAGCAGCACCTGCAACCAGTCTCTCTGCCTTATCTGCTTACAAGGAAAAAAAAGAATTTTCTGTTGAGTCCATAAATTAATGGTTTATCTCCCCTAATATACAATCAATGAACACAGTCCTCTTAACCCAGAAGAAAATTAGCTACAAGCAATTCAAAATATTGTGGATACTGTACCATCACTGCCTCAACAAAGTAAACAAAATTATATTTTGACAACAAGCTTTATCATGAACTATTACACTGACAATATCATTATGAACACGAAATCATTAGTATGGCATAGAACTGAAGTACAACAGATAATATTTTCTTATATGTACAGGTGGTTTGCCTGCCTCTAGGCCTAAGAACATTATCTGTAATTATGTTCCAATGAATTTCTTTTATGACTCAAAAAAGACAAGATATAAATAGATCTTAACAGACAAATATTAAGATACAGTGACCGATTATATTAAGCCGAAAGCTTAGAAAATGTTGGCAGAACCAGAGACACCTAAAGAAATTAGTATCATTCTACCAAAGTGCTTCACTTAATGATTTAAATACAAAGATAAAGTACCATGTTAAATCCAATGAGTTATTTTATTTTGTAATTCTTGCAAAGCTGGTAAAATCTGTGTAATGCAGCACAAATATTGTTGACAAACCCAAGTACGACATATTAACTCTAAGGAATCACATCTAATGTGTGCCACTTGAGGTGAATTATGGTCTCCTGTGGGTAGAAACGTGAAAAACTTTTGTCAGAATATGCAGAAATTCTTACTTCCCATGGAGGATTAAACCCAATAACATGGGGTGAGCAGAGGGTCATTACAGAATTAGGGTTATGGGCTTACAGGAACCTTTGAGGGAATAGTAATTAGGACATATTAGATTTTTAATATCAGCAGAAAAAAACTATTTAATTAATGACAAGATAAATAAATTGCCCCAAAATTCAATAAAAATGGAACAAGAAGGGGAAGATTTATAACCGTTGTCAGGTTTCTTGTACAAAATATACAAAAACTACAATATCAGTTCAGAGGAGATATGATGGTGGAAAGCAGTCCTTGGGGCACCTCCTTGAAATATACAAAAAAGTGAAAGCACTAAGCTCAGCAAAGAAATGCCTCAGTAAAACTCATTCCTCAGAACACCTCCCCATGCAAGGCCTAGAGAACAGGTTGGACCAAGGAACTAGTTAGAACAAGGGGGTTCACCCTAGAGACCACAGATCTCACTGCTGTGATCCGATTTATGATTCTAAGATAAGGATATGGATATATAGACAGATACAAGAAACAAAGAGTCTTCGTATTTGCCAAAAAATGATGCAAATACAGGTTGGAAGGTTCAGATATATTGAAAAGAAGAAAAAGAAGAAGAAAGAGAAAGATGTGTCGAGAATGCTTGGTGTGTTACTGTTCACACCAACTGACTTTTCATTTAACCTCACAAGAAAAATAACAAAGGTGCCCTTGAATAGGAGCCCAAATACAAATATTCATAAAAGGACAGAAATTCCCTCATACTCTTAACACTCCCCCTCAAGCTAAGCATAGATATTTGTCATGCCTAGCCTGTTCAAATTGTTGTCGAACTATTATTTTGGAACACCTTTAGTAAGACAATCAGCAATTGGTCTTCAAACCTCACATAAGGTAGACAAATCTCTCTACTGGCAACTCTTTCTCTAATGAAATGCCAATCAACCTCTATATGCTTTGTACAATCATGTTGAATAGGGTTGTGGGCTATGTTTATGGCAGCTTGATTGTGATAATATAATATCATTGGAGTATCAATCTACACTCCCATTTCTGTCAACAAGTTCTTCAACCACAATTCTGAGATTCCATGTGCCACAGCTTTGTACTCTGCCTCTGCACTAGATCGAGCCTCAACTGATTGCTTCTTTCTTTTCCATGATACAACATTACCACCCACCAAGGTACAATAGCTAGAAGTACTCTACCTATCATCAGTAGAACCTGCCCTGTGAGCATCAGAATAGGCCTCTACCTCTAGATGCCCATAATTAGAATACAACATCCCCTTTCCTAGACATACCTTCAAATAGGCAAGTATTCTATTCACTGCTTGCATATGAGATGATCTAAACTTGTGCATGTATTGGCTGACCACACTCACAGCATATGATATATCTAGTCTAGTCAGACATAGGTAGAGAAGGCGACCAACAAGTCCTTGATACATACCTTTGTCAGGAAGGGCATCTCCATCATCAATTCCCAACTTATGATTGGGATCAATTGGAGCTTCAGTCGGTTTACAATCCAATTTTCCTACCTCCTGAAGCAAATCAAGGGCATATTTCCTTTGAGAAATATAAATACCCTTATTTGACCTTACAACCTTAATTCCTAGGAAATATTGGAGTTTTCCGAGATCCTTAATTTCAAATTCAGTAGCAAGTAAAGATTTCAGTTCAGTAATCCTAGAGATATCATCCCTTGTGATAACAATATCATCAACATATACTATCAACATAGTTATTTTTCCATTTGCTCTCTTAATAAACAAGGTATGGTTAGCTTGAGATTGTGAGAAGCCAATTTTTAAGACATCTTTCCTTAATCTGTCAAACCAAGCTCTAAGGGATTGTCTAAGGCCATAAAGGGATTTTTTCAAACCGCAAACATTTCCCTCACTCCCAGGGATGTTCACTCCTAGATGAAGTTCCATTTAAACTTCTTCCTAAAGGTTTCCATTAAGGAAGGCATTCTTAACATCCATTTGATACAAGGGCCAAGAATAATAGGTAGCAAGAGACATGATAACTCGGATTGAATTCATCTTGGTTACTAAAGCAAATGTTTCCTGGTAATCAATGTCGTAAGACTAAGTACCCTTTTTCCACAGGTCAAGCTTTATACCTTTCAATTGAGCCATCAGTTTTATGCTTCACTATATAAACCCACTTGCATCCAAGAGGAACTTTGCCTTCTGGAAGAGAAACAATTTCCCACGTCTGGCTTTTTTTCAAGTGCCTCCATTTCCTAGTTCATAGGATCCTTCCAATAAGGGAACTGCACTACCTATTGTGAGGGATAAAAATAGAAGCAATAGAAGAAATATAGGCACAATAAGAGGGTGATAAGGTATCATAAGAGACATAGTTTGAGATAGGATACTTAGCACATGTTTGTCTTGCTTTACAAATTGCAATAGGAAGGTTAAGGCTAGAATCTACACGAGGAGGCTCAACAACATATTCAACACAGGCATCGGAAACAGGATGAGGTTCAGAATCCAAATTACCTGAGTCCGGGAGGTCAGATTGTAATGGGCACTCATTCTGGAGTCATCCTCTTTTTTAGTCTGACGAACCATTGATGCCAAGACCAAGGAAAAGGAAGCAAAGGAGGAGGCATAGGAGGAGGACTACTGTCACCACAGGGATGAGAAGGAGAAGAATTGACAACATCGGTTGTAGGAACAACATACAAAAAAGAGTCTGATCTTCACTAACATTCTCCCCCTGAAGAGAAGGACGAGAGATGGAGAAGAAGGGAGTAGACTCAAAGAATGTGACATCTTTGGGCAAATACCTTTTCTAGAACAAGGGTCATAACAATGATACCCCTTTTGGACTAAAGAATATCCCAAGAAGACACACTTGATAGACTTTGGATCAAATTTTAGCCTAGAAGTACTCATGTCATGGACAAAGCAGACACACCCAAAAACCTTGGAAGGAAGATGGAATGTATTCTCATCAGGAAAAAGAAGTTGATGAGGAGACTGGAGATGCAAGGTCTGCAAGGGAAGTTTGTTAATAAGATATATAGTTGTTTGAGCAACATCCCCCCAAAACCGAGTTGGAACATGCATCTGGAATAACAAGCCTCTAGCAACTTCAATCACATGTCTGTTTTTCCTCTCCGATACCCCATTTTGTGGGGAGTATGAGGACAGGAACTCTGGTAAATCACTCCTCTCTCTTCAAGGAAGGTTTATAAGTGCTTCTTAAAGTACTTCTTGGTGTTGTCAAATCTAATAATCTTGATCTTCTTCTCAAACTGTGTCTCCACCATAATGACGAAGCCTTTTACAATTAAGTGAACTTCATCTCGGCTTTTCATCAAATACAACCAAGTATACTACGAGTAGCCACCCATACATGGAATAGAATAGGGGCCCCAAACATCAATATGTATTAAATGAAAAGATATGGGGTTTGGGATCCATCGGCAATGGTAATCTTACCTTTTCTAGAAAAAAGTCTATAAGTGGTAAAGTAGAAAGGCATACTAGTCATATGATCACTGGCTCCTATGTCAATTATCCAAGAACTAGAGGGTGGGGCATGACATGTTAGCACTCTTGGCCGAATAGAGAAAAGAACAAGAATAATCTTAGAGGTGTCAAGAATGAATGACCCCCACCTCAAAAAGTCTCTTATATATTAAAAGATATGTACAATTACAAGAATGCCCATACAGGGCTAAAAGAGAAAAGAAGAATAAGATGTAAAAGTAATATACAACAAGGACTATACTAATAAGGTACATCAAGTTATAGAGTCTACACACCCCCCCTCAAACTGATGCCTCGATATAAGCATCAATTTGTCTATAAGAAAGAGATGTCGAACTCTAGTCATAGCTTTGGTGAAAATATCAGCAATTTGCATGTCCGAGGCTACATGAGGAAGCGATATAGACCCAGTAGTGAAGAGATCTCGGATAAAGTGGCAGTCCACCTCAATGTGCTTGGTCCTCTCATGGAAGACAGGTTAGATGCAATCTTGATAGCACTCGTATTATCTGCATAGAGAGGAATAGGAGTAGGAACCTGAATGCCAAGATCCATAAAGAGAGACTGTAACCAAACAATATCATTGCAAACCGAAGACATGGCCCCATACTCTGCTTCAATGGAAGACTTGGAGATTGTTGTTTCTTACACTTCCAAGAGATGAGTGAATCACCCATAAAAACAAACCACCCAAAAGTGGACCTACGAGTGTCTGGACAACCAGCCCAATCCGCATCAGCATATGCTCTCAACTGAATAGGA